CATTAGTAGGTGCCGTGACTATATTAAGAGCAAGATATTATGATTATTAGTCAGGAATCCAAGAAGGAACATGTTAGACTATGACTGTTAATTCTATTGTTAACATGAAGACAAAATCATATATCCGTCAAGAGAAAGAGTAGCGAATAGAAGCAGAAACCATTAAGTCTTAAACATAAGATGAGATGAGATAAGCATTATTGTCATTGTAAGCACAACCATGCAATAAAATTGGAATGAGCACAACAATTTCTTTATCTCATCCAAATAATCAACAAAGTTATTTTTTTGGATTATTTAAATTGTTACATGCTGTAAACATTTATGTATATGTGTCCATATACAGAACAAATATTTCAACATTCTGTTTTAACTCTCTCTCTCTCTTTTTTAAATAAATACAAATGGAAAGTTACCACACTACATGCAGTACATAACATTTAAAATATGGTCATATTGATATAAAATGTGTGATACACTCTAAACTGTCATTTGTATTTAAATCATGCTCTCTGGATAAATCACTCAGAGCAGTAAATGTGTTTGTGGGTGCTGCTGTATTTAAATTACTGCACAGTACATGCAATGACAATGGCAGTTCTAACAGTGGACTTCATAATCTTTTTATCAATCCTGTATCAAACAGATGATACACACATTAAAGCATGGAGACAGTCAGTGTATTCTTTTTATGCAGAGGCACAACATCAAGGCTGCATGCCTATGCAACATTTCAAATAAATGTTCCACCACCAGTGTTGTTATTCCGAGTATTCATTAAGAGATGCCAGCACAGAAGTCTCGCCATGTTTGAGAATCCAGCATAATGCATGCCAGAATAAACAGAGCTCAGAGACTTCTACAAATGCTCAACGGGCTAGATAAGTGAAGCAAGGTACATGCAGATTTCCCACTGCCAGCTATGATATGTATGCACACTTAATTTCAGAAATGTTGAAACCCTGGCAAATTCAAATCAAAGTTTATGCATTTGTCTGGGAGTAGGTGGACTTGCCCTGGGCAACAAGACTATGTAGACAGACAAGCAGACAGGCTGACAGAGAAAGAGGTAGGAGGTGGAAGCCTGGAGTCATTTCGTAGAGCTTCTGTGCTTACACAGTTATGTATTAAATAGTTAAAAGTTTCCTCTTAGGTTTCAAATTTCACAGTCCACAATCCACATTGAAAAGCTCTGTGCATTAGCTGTTCTTAGCAGATTGACCCACTCTTCCACCTTCACACCTGAAGCTGAGCAGACTAAATAGACCAAGATCAATTAATAAATTGAGATCGGATAATGACAGTTTGTCTTTTTTCTGTTAACAATATTTACTTCATGGTTGATGAGCTCCGGGTCATTGTTATCCTCTACCTCTGAGGCGGCTAGCTCATAGCCATCGGGGTTCATGGAGGCTAGAATATGGATGCGAGTGGTGTTGATGATGGTCTGAATTCTTTGGTTTCCCAGGATATATTCCGAACACAGGTACTGGGCCAAATAGATGAGCAGCTGGCGGCCCAGCACTTCGTTGCCATGCATGTTGCCCACCAACTTGATCTCTGGCTCTACTACAGTTCATGGACAGAAGTGCAAATCATTAAATCTGCATTCTCTTATTTATTTTTTTAAACTTTTGCCATTTTGAGCAGAACAAGCAATAAACACAAATCAAATTATGTATTTAGGTAGTTGTTCTGATGAATTTAATAAATGTGTGTGTATGTTTAAACAACCTAGGAGGGGAGGGGGTCAAAATAACCTTTCAGGTATGTTTGTGTCAATTATCTACTTTTAAAGAAAGCACCTGGCTTGTTAGCTGACACTATATTGAGAATATATATATTTAGTGTAGAAAATCTAAAGCTAGAAACAATTTTAAGAGGGCTAATATAAAGCCAAACGAATAAAGATGAGTAAGGGATCTTGCATTTAAGACATCAAGCTAAATAATGGTAAAACCCTGCAGAGCTGATAGGAGGTGCTATTCGCTGATAAGATCACAAATAGCAATGCTGTATGTAAAATATCTGACCATTTGTTTTCCCCAAGTCTTAGAGAGGTAAAACCTTTTTTTTTTAAATAACATCATACATTTGCATTAACCTTCCTTACTCACATAGCTCATGTTGTCCTGGGTTGTTGGTGAACTCAATCACCAGTAGATCCCTGCCCTCAGTGCTCCGTCCAATGCTGTAGACGTGGGAGATATGAGAGCACTTGGCTGCTGTTCTCTTCAGGATGCTGTACATCTGTGCATTGGAGGTGTAGGTGAACTGAATGATAGTACTGGGCTCCTGAGGAGAGAGACTGGACAGTGCTTGCTCCTGTCTGGCTGGAGGAGGGACACCAAGATTTAGGGGAAGCCAAGAAGAGTGCTTCAAAAGAGCGTCAGACTTACTCAGGCAGTATACAGTGCATTAACATGACCTTTACCTTTCAGCCCTGCCAGAGGATCAAAGCAGCCTTCTTGGTCACTGGCAAAGAAGCGGTCACAATCCAGGAAATAAGGCCAGGCCATCTCAATGGCCTCAAAGGCATGTGTGCAGTCCTTCCTCAGTGCCTCACATGTGCTCCGGCAGGGTTTGACCATCTTGTCATCTCTGCAGGGTGAGGCCAGTACTGAGCAACCTACAAGACGAATCTCAGGGGAGCACTCCCCATTCAAAAGGCCATGGATGACACTTAGGAGGAGGTACTCTGCCCCTGACTCTGCCTCCAAACGAGTCCGATGACCAAGGATGTTAGGGAATATGGTTCTGGATATAATGTATACATGATTTTTAACAGCATGATTTACATCAACATGTAAAACAATAAAAACAAAAAAACAAACAAAAAAAAAAACAGCACCTTATGAGACCGTTGTGTAGTTACAGTTTTTGTTGGCACAGATTTCTTGGCCAAGCCCTGTTACTTACCTAGAGTATTCCATATCATTACAATAGCCCAGGTTCAGCTCTGTGCATTTAGCTGTTGGAGCAGAATAGATGTAAAGAAAGATAAGGAGTCAAAAAGAGGACACACATGGTTTGACTAAATCATTATTTTTAAGCATTCTTTACATGTTTTTTTCCCCGCCAGTGCTCAAATATAAAGACTATACTGTAAATCACATATTTACAAGTAGTTTGAAGATAATGCCTTATCTCTTTGGATACAGTTCATATGGATTACATGGTTTGAGTTTTTCACCAGCCTTCAGAGCTCTGATGTTGTATGATTATGTGCCATTAGCCCTGACTTGTTATGACTTGTTCACTGTCTCTTGGATGAGAGTCAATGGGACTCACTTTTTTTTGGGGGGGGGGGGGGGGGGGCAAGCACCATTTGCTTTTATAAGATTTTGTGGGGAAACTGCTAATTTGTCTGATATAGTACCTCATCACAGAATAGACAAGCACAAATCCTCCCATACAGGCTGAGCCTTGGTACTGCATTTTTTTTTCTTTATGTCAGAGATTACAGATCTGTCTCATCTATCTGGAGCAGATGCATGCTGCATCTTCTAGGTACAGCTCTTCTGTTTTACCTGACTCAAAGGTCAGGCCATGCTCCACGGCTAGGTTTACCCAATCGTTATTCAATCCATGCAGTTAAAAATTTGTCCAGTAAAAAAAAAATTCACATACGTTTTTCTTCATATGCACTGTTGCTGCATCTTCCTGTGAAAAAAATAAATAATACAAACTCAAAAATATATAAACATCGCTCATTGAACGCTAGATGGAGACATCGTAACAACAATCCAAAGAAGAAACTCCATTTAAAATCACCGTTTATTCAGAAACAAACAGCAGCTGGCCATGAGTCTGTCACACACATTTATTCTTAAATCTCCCTTACACGTCTCTGCAGAGTCTAATTTGGCTATTATGTAATAAAACTGAGAAATATGCAGACTAAAAAAGCGCCTATTAGCTGTCTCGAAGCAGAGAATTAAAATGAATAGGTAGGCCTTAAAATTATTTGAATTAGTATCCGGGTAACTTAACATCGGAAGTCGAAAGCAGTCTATCAGCTAAACCGTGTGGACGTTAAGTTACATGGTTTAACTCCCACGGACTCTAAGCATGCATCACAGGTTTGGGTTTGCACGGTACGCGTATTTGTTTGGACCAGATGACCTTACCTAAATACTCGTCTCCTGGATGGCAATTCTGCTGCGGGACGCACAACGAAGTTTTCGCCCAGAAAAGAAACATTACCAAAAGTCCTAGCTGCATGTTGGAGTGCTTTGCGCTGCCAGAAAATTCGGTGTGTGATGTGGCAGTGTGTGTTTGAAGCTGCCACTTTTCGTTTTCTATGCTGGATGATAATTACCACCCACAGGACGGAAACCTCCTTCCTTTGTTTTATCGGTGCATCCCTGACCTGTAAAAACTGAGGCGAACCAGGAGCGCGGCTGTGCCGATCATATTTCACTGCACAGAGTGCTGTGCGCGTATGTGTGTGTATGTGGGGTGTGGGCACGAGGAAGAAACGTGGCTTGTGGGGGTGGGAGTAAGAAAAGTTTGTGTCTCTGCCTATTATTTGACATAATAGCGCTGCAGAGGCTGTTCACACACCAGTGTATGGATAGATTTGCACCATTAGGGTATCTGAAAATCTTCACCGACCTTCGTATTCCCGGCTTTGGTAAGAATAATAAGCCATTACCAAGCTGTAACAGGGATTTAAAGTGCTTAGCAGCAGTTTCCATGGGCTTAAGAGGTAGCAGCAAAAGATTCAAAAATAAGTATGATAGCTTCACAAGATTCTAGATCACAGGTTTCTAATTTTTTCGTTTAACCGTTCAATATTGGATACTTCTTGATTTTTATGCATGAACAGAGACACGTGGAAATATAAGTTTAAAATATGTTCAGTTCATATCAGTTAATAAAAGATCACGATCATAATATTTGACTCACTAGTCTAGACTGATGCAGTATTGCAGTATACACTCACTTTAAGTACTCAAATAGAAGACTCGATTTTCATCTGTGGCAGTGGAGTTTATTTTTGAAAGTGCTCTGATATAACAATTTCACACATCTTCTTTGTATCTATTTTTGCACTCTATTTCAGTCATTAACACAAACAAAATGTAAGCATAAAACAATAATAAATGAGCAAATGGACAAATCCAGTGTTATCACACTTTATAGATACATTTCCACAGTACTAAACATGTTGCAGTTTTCATGTGGTTGTGCATCTCCAGGCAAACTAATGAGCCCTATGGAAACAGCAATCTGTAGAGGCTGAAAAGGCTTCGGCACACATCGGACGTGAGAGGTGCCGTTCAGTATGAATTGTTATGTGTCCTTCACAGCTCTCCCAGTGGAAAATAATGTTCCTTTAACAGTCACATGATACAGTTCTTTGTTAAAAAGTCCTTGAGCAAGGCATTGACTTCTTTCAATCTGCTGACCTTTTTGACTTTAAAGACTGTGACCTTTTACAAAAAAGATCAAAGCATTAAATCATTTAAAAATGACCACATCAAGCTCAAGTAATCCTGGCAAGACAGCTGTCATCTGTGGTGTCAAATGTGCTGCTTGCACTGGTCACAGACAGTAAGTAGTGATCTTTTCCTACAACTCGGCTGATAATACTAACCAGGACCTTCCTGTACTGCTGCCGCAGAAGACAGTAGACGAATGGGTCACTGGAAGCCTTGGCATAGAACAAGCATTTGGTGGCAATGCCCCAGTAACGAGGGATGCGCACAGAGGGCAACAACTCCACCAACCTGTGGGAGTAAGACAGAAAAAGTAAATTCCACTTCCCCGGATGTGTATTTATAGCATGGAAAGTTATGGAAACAACAAAAGGCATCTGTTGCCTTCATGGGGGTTCTTCCCCTGTTATATTGGTTCAGAGGCAAGTTGTTTTATATTTTTACTGTTCAAATAAAGGGTCTAATGCAATCCACTGCAACATTCATACAATGAATGAAACCTTATTAGGGCTAATTATGATGCTGTGTTACAGAAGTAATGACTCAACTTTAAGGAAGATGTATACATTCTAGATATATTCGCGACTTAATATTATAAAATATAGAAGACATTCACATTTTAAAACAAAGTTCAGTCAAATGTCACAACGGACTTGGTACCATGCTGCCATTCCACTTAACTACACTGGAAGGCTTACCTGGTGATAACATATGGTGAAAAGCAGAGGATGAAGGAGCCAATGAAGACGCAGATCTTTTTAGTGGCGCGCTGCTTTCTCTTCTTCCGTTGCGCTAGGCACCTCTCCTTCACACTGATAAAAAAAACCACATTAATTTCTGACATTAATAATTAATAAACTCATTAACATGTTACCTAATATTACGCAACCGTTTTTTTCAGTATGGCGTAACTGGTAGAGATTTATTTTATCCAATTAAGCTGTTTTGAAATCAGAGGCATGTCAAACTTTTTTTTTTCAAAGAAAACACTCTACCTGGGGTGGATATCAACCAACAGAAGCAAAGTCTGCACTGTAATTACATCTATCCTCTTGCAGTGTGACTTAGCCACTCTCAAAACTTTCAGGTAAGCGAAGCACAAGACGAGGAGGCAGAGCGCAAAGCTGCTACCGTGGAACAGCGCTGTGAAGGTGGCGTAGATTCCCAGCTGAGACACCTGGTCCAAGTCCAGGTGAACTGTGCATGAGGCGTAAGTGTAGCTGTAGCCTCCCCAGTTCATCATCAGCTGAGTGAGAGAAAAGATGAGAGAGTGAAGCCAGGAGTAGGCCACGATCAGAAAAGCGTCCCTGTAGCGCATCTTGCTGGAGTATCTCAGAGGAAATACTACCGCTATCCACCTGTCCATGCTCAGCGCCGCCATGCTCAGCATGGCATTACTGGTGATAAAAGTCTCGGCAAAGCTGACGACGTGGCAGAACAAGTCCCCCAAGGGGTTTGCGCCACTGACCACCCCCAGAAAAGTGGCAGGCATGTTGATAATACTGAGGAGGATGTTAGATAAAGAGAGATTTATCATAAAGATTCCTGGTACATGGGCTCTTAAATCGCTGCTCTGAACGAAACATAGCAGTACCGACAAGTTGGTCAGCAGAGAAACAACAGCTATTATCACAATGGACACTTCCAGAAGGAACTCCGGTATGCTCATATCTCGTGGTTCGTGTTAGCAGCAGCTGTGGGGAGGATGTTATGGAGAGTCCGCCATGCTCTCTCCTTTTGCCCCCCACCAGCTATGACGGATAGTCATTGCCACGTGCCAGACGCGCACTTGTGAGCCAAGCAGAGAGAAAGCGCTGTCCGGTGCTGAAATGCCTCAACAAACCTTCACGTCAGTGTTGAGATAAATAACTTAAAAGTTGTTTAAGATTTCTAGGAACTCAAATACTACTGATCGCGCCGATTTCTCCACTAATGACAGTAGTTTAGTCCAAATTGAAGAGCTGAGCAAAGGATAACACGAGATTGCCGGGTGGTCTCAGCGCTTACTCGCGATCATGCGCACTATCCGGCGCCTCCTCTCTCACTGGCAATGCCGTGCGCCCTGCACGTGCGGTCGGTGACTGGCTCATGTGACGCTTGAACAATATCCATGCGGGCAAGAGTTAATGTGAGAGATGAGGATGTTGTGTTTGCATCCAGCTCTAAGTTTTTATCCCAAAAGAAAAGCTCAGCTGTGCTGTCTGTAACTATGGAAGGAGAGCAGAGCTTTTCGTGTGTGTGTGCGTGTGTGTGTGTGTGTGAAAAGCTTGACTCATCCTAACCACAGCTGCTTCATGCCTTACTCTAACCTTTTATTCTAGATATGAAGCACATACTCACCTTATAATCGAATGACCTGCCTCAGCAAACAACCCTTTGTCACCATGATGTAACTGTGAAAGCAGATTTGGGTCCCCATAACATGAGTAATATCGGGACCACACACACACACACACACACACACACACACACACACACACACACACACACACACACACACACACACACACACACACATCTCCATAGCAACAGAAGATCTCTGGTGTCTTCATCACTCTTTGAACTTCATCTTACTTAGCACTGATTTGTTTTTGATTTGTCCTCAAATACCTTCAAGAAGTCATTTGCCACCGCATGTTCATTTAAGTACACTTCTTGAAAGCATCATATGCTGTGTTACGGATCATATGGATTACAAAGGCAGGTTGAAAGGACAGAAGAGCTGGCAAATTAAGAGAAGACGGATGGAACCTGAAAAGCTGAAGGGAAACTGGATTGAGGGGGAGGAGGAACACGTGTGGGAGAAATGAAGAAAAAAAGATGCTGGTTGTTGTTTTATATACACAGTGCAGTTTCAGATTGCCTTTACGGGCAGTGTATTTCCATTTGAACTCTTTGATAGATTTTAATCATCAGTAAAAACAGAAAAATATTACCCCTTTAACGAGTTGGTGGAAATAAGCTTGACGTTACATTACTGTGCCTGATGTTAACTTTTCAGTGTTACATATTCCTACTCAGAGGCTGTAACTGGGGCTTAGTTTGTTCTCATTTTGGCAATAATGACATGTCTCCATCTTGACATAGAAAAAAGCCCTTTTCACTTCAGTGAAAACCAATAACAGTGCTTTAAGTGCAGTATTGACAGGTCTGTTGCACTGAACTGCAGTATTCTGTTTTCTGTGCTAACATTGATTTAAGGTTACATGGATAATTCCTGTCACATGTAAAATCTAATGCCTGCACAGTTAGTTCAAACACAATGTGTTTGAAGCCTAAAAACATGCGCGGGCTTGTGAGTGTGACTGATGGACATCTTTTTCCTCATTATGCACACATTATTCAGTTTATGTTATCTTAGGGCATGCAAGTGGGCTGTATTTTATTTCCTATTTTCTTCATGTGTTTCATCCTCTGTGTCCCCAAAGGCTACATTTATATTCAATTATTAACAGGTTTCTAGAAGATCATATTTACAGTATGTGCTGCAATAGCCCCAGTGATGTACTTTTTCTTCTTTTGGTGTTTTGTCATGCTGCTTTCAGTGGTATTATTGTTATTGAGTGTGTAATCGAATGGCTAAACTGCTGTGAAGAAAAACCAGCACCTCTCAGTTGCTAAGAAGAAGGAAGAAATATCGGGAGAAATAGCAGAAGAGAAAGAAGGAGAAATTACCTTCAGAAACAACCCTCTAAGTGATCTCATATTCTCACTGGGCTTCTGTGGATGGCGAAGCTGTTATGCCAGTATCAGAATAGTGATGGGGAAGCACTTAAGAAGTCCCACTGGCAGGCATCCCACTCAACCTTGAGCCACTGCCTCTGGCTGCTATGTATATATATATATATATATATATATATATATATATATATATATATATATATATATATATATATATATATATATAGAGAGAGAGAGAGAGAGAGAGAGAGAGAGAGATGCTGTGAGTATCTGCGCCATTACGTAACATCACAGTTCCCACAGTCAACAACATAATACAGAGCTCTCTCTTCACCTTAACTTCATCTTTATTAATTCCCCATAAAATATGACAATATTTTTAGTTTCTGTCCATGCATCCATCTGTTAATGTAGCCTTCATTATTACTACTGCACACAAGTCTTTTGTATATATGAGGTATGTATTCCTTTTAATATTTTTTATTCAAGTGTTTGAGAGTTTGTATTTATATTATTTAAGAGTTTTCGCTTTTTTGTTTGAGTACGAGTAAATTTCATTGTGATGCCGTGACAGTGGTTTAAGGACAGTCTCTTATCTCTTATGTTAGGTTCCATCATTCTGATATATGGATCCTTGTAGGTGTACTTGGCCTATTTTAAAATGAAACCCATTGGTTTTTATACATGCTTATTCCACTATGTTTGGTGTAGTACTATAGGCTGCTAGTGACAGAGAGAAGAAGATTGCTCCTTTTTGACAGCTATGACCCTGATCTGTCTGCTCTATTAAAATCAGTTCTACATTAGAAAGACTAAGAGGAAGGCGCTCTGTGGTGGTGTTGGTAGCATGCCCCTGCTTTGTGATAACTTTTCAGCAATGATGCTGATGGTCATGAGAGGAGAAAAAGAGATGGGCTGCCAAGAAGACAAAGACTGTAACCAAATGTCAGGGTGACTGTTTCTGGAGTGTGAGATTCTGGGTGAATGAACAGGTCGTGACCCTTTGAGCTACAGAACAATCACAAACACTAACTCACTCAGACACTCACATGTCCAGATACACACAGGCCATCAGTTTCTCCAAGGTTCTCTGTCAGTCTTCCTGTTCCTTCCTTCTTCTACCTTCCTATTTATTTCACTCTGAGTCACATGTTAACAGTGACTCTACGATACTGTTAAAGGTGTCACTCTTTTTACACTTGTTAATGAAAGGAGGGGACAGGAGTGAAACTACTTCTAATGATGTGTATCCAGGTCAGAGCATACAGACTCAGGTGAAATCTATGATCTATGTATTCATACATAAGTGTAAAAATGATGCAGATATTTATTTATTTGTTGTTTTTAGATTTCACCCAACAGATAGATGATAGACAGATTGATACTTTATTGATTCTACAAGGAAAACTGTTGTGTTGTAGCATCATAATTAAGAGCAAAAAAATAGTACAGTCTACAATAAACAACAAGTCAGTAGCACAGTTAAATAAATGTGCAATCTGGCAACACATCAGCTAATATAGTGATGCAGCCTCAGGGGGCCAAAGGCAATTTTAAAGGCTTCTGGTGCAGCAAGCACATATTCAAGCCAAGCATCCCCATTCAATCTGAAAGCCACTGTTTACAAATAGAGATAAATGAAATAAAACTAATAACAGGCTAAATTTTCATATGACTCTGTATATCATTACAGTAAATAATAAATAAAGTTGTGAGGTGATTGCAATGCAAGTTTTCAGCTTTAATTCAGAAGGTTTTAAAAAACTATTGAATTGCAGTCCTTCTATGTATGGTTCCCCATGTTCAGTGGCTCAAAAGTAATGACAAATGACCAACATGATCATTCGTCATTGTATTGTATTGTAAAAAAAAATTAAAGAGATTAAAGATCAATCTGGAGTCAATTTTGAGTGTTGAATTAGCATTTTAGAGCAGTTCACTAGAAATATCGATATGAGGTGCAAAAAGATGTCAATGCAAGTGAAAGGGGCCATCATGTCACAGTACTGGGTCTGGGACTCAGTGTTTTTTGATCAATTTATATTCTTGGATTTGTTGTTTCTCATGGTTTTTATTCTCACTATTGTTTTCTGCTTATTTATAATTCAATTCAATTCGATTTGATTTATATAGCGCCAAATCACAACAACAGTCACCTCAAGGCATTTTATATTGTAAGGTAGACCCTACAATAACACATACAGAGAAAAACCCAACAATCAAATAACCTCCTATGAGCAAGCACTTTGGCGACAGCGAGAAGGAAAAACTCCCTGGTTGGTTCTGAGAGGGGCGGACATCTGCTGCGACCAGTTGCGACTGGTCTTTAGGTTTCTGTCTCTGTGCCTCCCGTGTGTTCCTTGTGTCACGTCTAGTCAAGTTATGTTTTCATGTCTGTGCTTCTCCTTGTTTCAGCGTCAAGTCCGTGTTTCTGTGGCTGTCTACTGTTTCCTGTTTTGCTTTGACGGTCTCATGTCCCATGTTAGTGTTTTCAGTTTTGCTTCTTATCGGTGTCGTTGTGTGTGATTGCTCCCAGCTGTGCTCTCCTCCTGTGTCTCATTCCCTGATTATCCCTCTGTGTATTTAAGCCCTTTGTCTTCCTCTGTTTGTTGCTGAATCATCTGTGTGTCATTTGCGGCATTCCTCACATCTTAGGCGTCTGCTTTCTTTTTTACTTGTTTCTAGTTTTTCTCCCAGTTTAGTCCTTGCCTTCCTCAATTTTTGTTCATGTTTTGCGCTATCATAATTAAGTTTAAGTCTGTTGTATATTCCTTACTGCAGGGGTGAAGGGAGTGCCAAGCATCGCAAAGACCAAAGTCGCTCATATACTGCTTGATTATATTTGTGGACTGCCAATTGCACTGAGTTCCTGCTGCATTGAGCCTATCAATTTTTCCATTTAGCCCCAGGTTGAAGTCACCCCCAAGAACGATTGTGCAATCTAAGTGTTCAGAGAGTGTACTAAAAAATCAGTGGAAGAATGAGGGGTCATCAACATTTGGACCATTTATACTCACAATACATAGCTTTTCGTTAAGTATAGATAGTTTAACGATTAGGAATCCGCCCTCTGGATCTATAACTGTGTCGAGTATTGTGAAATTAATATTTTTATGTATTAAAATTGCTACTCCCCTTTGTCAAGAATTATAACAGGCTGAAAACACATTAGGAAACATCATTCAAACCTGTTACAGGCCCATGAGTCTCTTGTAATAAAACAGTCTGCCTGTAGGTTTTTAAGTTGATTAAGTATTTTTAACCTTTTTTCTCTGGAGCATAGCTCGTTCAGAATAAAAAAG